CGGTGGTCCGTGGGCGCGCGACCGGCAGAGGGCGTGTCGGGGGGGTATGTTCTGCAACGCGGGGGCGCGGGTGGCACGGCGGCGGCGGCGTGCGCACCCTGGCGGGCATGTTCTCCTCCTCCTCCTCCTCCTCCGACGATGAGACGGAGAGGTAGACCACGGGCGGAGGCAGCCCACGGCGGCCCATCTGGACCATGTCGGCCGTCGACGGCGATGTCTGCGATCGGCACGCGGGGCGGTGGTCCGTGGGCGCGCGACCGGCAGAGGGCGTGTGCAGCAGAGCGCCGCGGGGCTGTGTGCTGGTGCGGAGGCGGTAGTGGGGGAGGGGGAATGTAGCGTGTCGGGGGGGTATGTTCTGCAACGCGCGGGCGCGGGTGGCACGGCGGCGGCGGCGTGCGCACCCTGGCGGGCATGTTCTCCTCCTCCTCCTCCTCCTCCGACGATGAGACGGAGAGGTAGACCACGGGCGGAGGCAGCCCACGGCGGCCCATCTGGACCATGTCGGCCGTCGGCGGCGATGTCTGCGATCGGCGGCTCGCGATCGCCACGTCGCCGGCGTCGTCGTCGTCCTCGTCGTCGTCGTCGGCGTCGTCGTCGTCCTCGTCGTCGTCGTCGCCGTCGTCCTCGTCGCCGTCGTCCTCGTCGTCGTCGTCGCCGTCGTCGTCGTCGTCGTCGTCGTCGTCGTCGTCGTCGTCGTCGTCGTCGTCGTCGTCGTCGTCGTCGCCGTCGCCGCACCACTCGTCCGAATCCGACGACGCTTCCGAGTCCGAGCTCGAGGCCGTGCCGTCGCCGTCCTCGTCGCCGGCCATGGACAAGCTCGAGGCCGTGCCGTCGTCGCTCGAGTCAGAAGAAGAATTCTCCACGTAGTTGGGTTGCCCCGTGCCCCTGCGCGGCCTGCTGCCACGGGGGCTCGTGGGGGCCCGCATGCGAGGCTCTCGACGGCTGACTGTGTGCGCTGTGAGACCCTGCATCGACGGTGAGCGGTGGTCGGCGGTCGGTCGTCGGCACGCACATGATATCCGTCGGCCGCTCGCACGCCCGGCGCGACGGCGCGGCGGCGGGGCTGCGGGGGCCGCCTCTCGCGTTGCGGGTCACCTCAGCAAGATCGCGGGGCGCGGCGGCGCCGTCTTCCGCGCACGGGGGAAACGGCGCAGGCCGACAGCCGTAATGCAAGGAGTGGGAACATGCGGGCTCAGGGCCGCGGGCGGCACCGCGGTCGTGGAGGGGCAGACGGCGGCGGCAATCAGCGCAAGCGACCACACGGCGGCGCGACGTACCTCGGCTGCGCCCGCGGCCCCGTCGCGAATGCGCGCCAGCCTGTGCGACCGACGCGCGAGCACGGCCGCTTCTGCCTGTCGATCCCGCCGCGTCGACGGAGAGGGGTAGACCAGTCTCCCGCCGGTGCCGCCGCGGTCCCTCCTGCGCATCGCGCCGCGGACCGACGCACCGGTGTTCGCAGCAGCTGTGCTCACCCCCCGGTCGCTGCCCCGCGACGCCGCTGGGATCTGCACGGGCCTGCGGCGCGGCGGCGTCCCCCTCCTCGGGGGGCTGCTGTGCCTGGAGTTCGAGGGCGACTGCATCGCGCGGGTCCGTCGGCGGTGGCTGACAATGTGCACCTGCGTCCGCGGTGGGGGCGGGGGCCGTTGGTCGGTCGTCGGTCGGTCGTCGGCGCGCGGCCGATCGCACGTCCGGGCCGCGGAGCACGCCTCTCTCGTCGCGGGCGCTGCGCAGGTGGCCATGCATGGCCATATGCACACAGCTAGTCGGCGAGAGCCGCGCAATCGGGCCGTCGAATGCGGTTCTAGCGCGACAACCCGCCGTGTATATTCTCAGAAACGCCGAGGGTCGAGCAGCGCGTCCATGGCCGCTCGTCTGCGCGGAATACGAACCGATCGAGGTAGCAGCAGCGAACAGTCGGACACGGCGCCACGGGCCGCGCGCGCCCCGAGCAACGATCAAAATTAGGCGGTGCGAGCTCTGAGCGACCTCGACGGGCAAGCTGCACGACCGAACTGGTACTGGGACAGCATCATGGTTGCCCGTGCGTCCACGCACGCGCGCCGCGGCGGGCGCGAGGTGCGGGCGCTGCGCGGCGAGATCCCCGTGCCGACGGGACCGATGCGCGATGGCACGCCCGGGCGACGGCGGGAGGGCGGCACCGCGGGAACGTGCGCGGCTCTCGTTGCAGGTCGCCTAGGCGGCAGGATCGCGGCCGATCGCGCGGCGCGCTGGCGGTCCAGCGCGCGCGCGGATGGGCACGGCAGGACGGTGCGCGCTCAGGTGGACGTCGGAGGGCTGTGCGCGTGGGCCGACGGGCCGGGGGGGCGCGATCGCGGCTTGAAAATGCGCCTCGTGCCCTAGCTGCCTCTAGGCAGCACGCGCGCGGATGATCCGGCGCGCGGCGTGGCCGATCGCGCGGCGCTGGCGGTCTGGCACGAGCACGGAATGCCGGAGAACAGTGCGCGAGGGTCTGCGGGGCCGCGATGCCTGCGCCGCGGGGGCCTGCTGCACGAGTTGCTCACCTGGTGCTCTTCTGCCGCGTTGCGACGACGGGATGCACGCGGCACGTCTGCGTCGTGCCGAACACCGTCGGGATGGAGTCTGCCCGGCGGCAGCCCCCCCGCGCCGCAACGTAGCGCGTCCGATCCTCGAGCAGGGGGGGAGGTTCGCTGGCGTTTGAGGTCGACAGCGGGCGATGTGACCCGGCGGGCCGCGGGAGGCGCGCGCGCGGCGCGGAGGCCGCGCCGCGCCTGGGCCGACGGACCAGGGTCGGGCGCCGCCTTGTCGACGCGTCGTCCGCCGCGACGAAAGCCGAGGACGCGGTTCTTCGCGCATGTTTCTGCGCCCGTTGTTGACGTCGTGCGGGGCGCTCGTCTCGTCGCGCGGGGCGCCACGCGCCCTCCCGCCGTGCGCCTACGGAGCGATCGGCATGCCGCGGTGGTTCGGGCGCCCTCGCACCGTTCGTCCCGCGCGCAGCTCCTGCGAACAGCGTCCACGGCACAGCGTGCAACGTTTCGTCTCCGGATGTCCAGGGGGCGCGGCGCGCAGGTACCGGCCGACGTCGCGCGCGGCTCACCTGCGGATCGTTCTCCTCGCGGACCGGCTCCGGTGTCCCCACGCCGTCCGCGCACGGCCCCGACGCCTGCGGCTGCACGTCGCGCGCGCCGCTCGCCCGCCTCGCTGGGCTCTCCACCGCCTGGGCGGCCGTTGCGCCGTGTTGGTGTCGGGACGAAGCAGCGTGCATGCGAGCTCCGAAGCGCTTCAGCTCACCCCCCGCCTCCCGGTCGTCTTCGTCGCGTGGCAACCTGGCAGAGAGCAACCTGATGAACAACAGGGGGGAGCTGTGCTCGGCGCCGCGACGGGAGAGAGCTCCGCGAGGTCCTGGACGTGCTTGCGTCGTGGGCGTCCGCCGCTGGAAGGTCGCGATGGGTCGTGCAATGGAACCGGGCGTCGCACCGCGCGGGCCTGACAGCTCGAGGTCGTGCCGCGGCCGTGCCTGCGCGTGCGTCCGCGCAGCGCAGCAGACGCGGACCTCGACGCCGAAGGACCGCGCTGGGCCGTCAAAGTCACCGTGTCGCCCGGAACAGGAGGTGCGGGGGCGACCGTGGGCACGCCTGCGGGCTGGGTCGCGGGCTCCTGCGGGCCGGTGGTGGAGCGAGCCGGGAATTGACGGGCAACTGTGCGCTCAGTCAGTGGCGAGCGCGACCTTGGGGGGCGAGTCGTCGCGGTTTCGGCCCTCGCGGCCGCCGCATTCCGCGTGGTGCCATGCAGGCAAGCGCCATGCAGGGTCGCCGCGGGCGATAACGAGCACTGACAGCAGCGGGTGCGACGTGGAACCACCGCCTACGGATGTGTGCCGCCCGCGGCAGGTGTTTACGGGCCGAGTTCCCGCGTGGAAGGGATCACAGCGGGCGCCGGTCGCTTGCTGCCCAGCCTCTCGACACCAGTCGCCCGGAGAGGCACACGCGCCACCGGGTGCCCCCGGGACCCCTCCCGCAGTGATCTCCACGATACCATCCGCGACCACCGAACTGCATGGCGCCGGGATTCCCGCGGTCGGATGGCGCGCCGGGGTGCCTGCTCCGCTCGAGAGCTCTCCCCTGACGGGGCTCCCATCGCGCGAACGGACGCGCCCGGAGGCGGTCCACGCACGGCCTGCGCCGCTGTGGCCACCATCCAGGACCGTCGACCTCCCGCGGCGGAAGCGCAGCGTGCTCGACGCGCCGCCAAAGGGTCTGCGTAGGCGCACGCGGTGTCCTGCGGCGGCGCGGTCGCGCCCGGGTCGCCCGCCTGGCGACGAATTCGTGCGCCGCCGCCCGGTGCTGCCACGACCTCTCGAGGGCCCGTCCTCAACATGCCGCGGCGCGCACGCGCCATGACTGACACCGCCGCCTGTCTACGGCGTCGTACCAGGCCTGACACGATGCGGTGGAGGCCCCGCCCGCGCCGGCGATCTTCTCGCCCCCGGCGCCGCCCGCCTCGGCAGTCGACGTGGACGCAGCGCGTGCCCGTGGCAGCACCCTCGACGCCCCTCCGTGCGTGCCCGAACCGGTTCCAGTGCCTCCCGCTGCAGAGCAGCGCCCCCCCGACGTCCAGGCACGACGCGCCGGGCGCTGGAGTCGTCCGTTTGCGGCTATATCCCGCACGTGGCCCTCCTGCTCCCTCCAGTGCGCCTCCGCGAGTCCGGGTGGACGGGACCCAGGTGCGGCCCCAGTTTTGTGCAGCCACGGATCGCTTTTTTGACGGCACGAGGGGCCGTCGGCCGCATCCGTCCGTTCGCCCGCCACGTGCACCACCCCCAGATGCTGGTCCGCCGCGCATGCCGCCCGTCGCATGGGTCTGTCCGCGCCGCGGACGCCGTGCGAGTGCCTCACAACCTCCCCCGTCGACGCTGCTTCGCAGTCGCCCCGCCTCCGCGCCCTCACTGCGACCCCGGGCCTCTCTTGGCCTTCTTCAGCCGCTGACGCGTCGCCGGGAAGTGCACGTGTGCCAGCGGCGGCATGGGGGGCCCAGACGCTCCTGCTGCTGGTGAGGGGCTCCGCCCGCGACGATGGCACGCCGGGTGCCAGCATGCGCGCGCCAGCATGCGGGCTGTGCACTGCTTCGCGCTGAACGACGTGCCGGGCGCACCCCAGCGCCGCGCGTCCCTCACTGCACTGCTCACCTGCCCCTCCCGTCCGCGCAATTTCGCAGGGACCGGCGCTTCTCCGGGGATGGCCGGTCGACGTCGCTCTGCCAGGAGCGCAGCCCGTCGGAAGCGTCCCGGTGAAGAACCTGGTGCGCGCCCACGCTCCCCGCCAGCCGACCCCTGCAGCCACACTGTGCGTGGCTCGTCACGAGCGCCCCTTGCGCACCCGTCCCGGGTCCTGCGCGTCTCCCCACAGCTCGACGCGTAGGGGGTGCGCTCAAATTCCATTTTCCCGGCCGCGTCGTCGTCGTCGTGGCCGAACGGGGCCCGAGCTCGCCCGCCTTGCGTGCCTCGCCCTGGGGCCAGTGCGCGACGCGCGTCCAGGGCGCCGCTCACGCCAACGCCAGCCCCCCTCGTGCACGGCGCAGGCACCGAGGGCGCCATCAACGACACGGCAGCGGCCCGCATCCCGCCCAAGAAGAAGAAGGCCAAGCAGAGGCCGCGGTGCGCAACCCAGCGCTACTGGAATGACGCGGAGAAGCACCGCACGTACTGGTGCCCCAACCAGTGCTCCAAGCACGTCGCCCATCCGGAGAATTCGAAGCGGAGCATCCCCCTGTGCGCCAGGCACGCCCAGAACGCGATCGACGGGGTCGTCCCAGATGAGTGCGTCAAGCCGGAGGAGACCGTCGCGGACGTGGAGGTGTCGACGGCGAGTCTTCTCAGGGCCGTGTTTAGCTTCTGGCAGACCTCCGGGGGCCACCCCACCCTCGACAGGCTGCGGTCGCCGCACGGGGACGCGCCCATAAACATGCAGAAGGTGCTGTTGGCGGCCATCACCAGCGACGTGTCTCCCGGCGAGCACGTCCTGGGGGTGGGTGCCACGCGGCACGTCGAGGCGACGGTCAAGGCGCTAAAACGGAGGAGGAAGCCGCCGCTGATGTCGGACACGTCGGTGACCGCCATCCTGGAGCGGTACACCAACCGGCTCCAGTGGGCGCTCGACAACTTCGCGCGCATCGGCGGGTGCAGGCCCAGCGTCGTGCCTAGGCGGAACGACTTCAAGGTCGAGCCGCTGCGGGACCACCTCGAGTGCAACATGACGAAGGGGTACCGCGGGAGCACGCGGACTCCGCGCATCGAGGTGCACAACGTCGGCGGTTGCCCCGCCCCGCTCGTCGTCTTCCACCAGGTGGCGTCCCGGACAAGCGAGGACCTGCTGCTCCAAGAGCACTTCACCCCGGACCTCATCAAGGCGGCGCGCAAGCTCGTCGCGACGGGTCTGTGCGACGGGCCCGCGGAACTGTGCGACGGCGCGGGGGTGTCCAGGTGGCTGACGACCCACGCTGAATTCACTGGCCTCGACGGGAAGGCCGCGCTGAAGGCAGTTCGGGAAGAGCAAGAGAAGCAGCGCAAGGAGGGTGCGCCACCGTCGCGCAACACGCCCAGCGAGGAGGAGGCGGACTCCACCGTGGAGGACCTGCCCAGCGAGGAGGAGGCGGACTCCACCATGGAGGACCTGCCCAGCGAGGAGGAGGCGGACTCCACCGTGGAGGACCTGCCCAGCGAGGAGGAGGCGGACTCCACCGTGGAGGACCTGCACGCGGCCATCGACGCCGTGAGGAAGGACATCATGGACGACATCGTGCGCCCCTACGTCGAGCTCCTGGGGATGGACGATGCCTGGAAGCCGTCGGAGATCAAGGACGGATTTTACATGGAGTACACAGCCGCCAGCGACGCACCGTCGGGGCCAGGTCTCGCCGCGCACCACGACTCGTCCTTGTGGACGATGATATTCATCCTCCCGACTCTGCCGGGCGAGGAGTGGAAGGGCTGCTACCTGGCGTTCACCAGCAAGGTCGCACCCGAGCCCGATGTCGGGGACCGCGTCCGTCGGGTGCGTCTGAGCGATCTGGGCGCCGCGCCCGCGGACGGGACCTACGACCGCATCCGTCCGGCGAACGACCAGGCCGGCCAAGGCCCACCTGAGTATTGGGCCGCCGCCCTGCAGCCCGGAGACATAGTCTGCCAGAGCTTCGGCTTCCAGCACGCGGTCACGGAGATCAGGTCCGTGGACGCGCACAAGCCGGGCAAGCGGCAGAGCCTGGCGCTGTTCATGGGCATGCCGGTGGGACGGAACACGGCCAACCTCACAACGTACAAATAGGTACTTTATTGAGGGTGTAAAGACCTAAGTGATGTGTCGTCGCCCCCGCGCGGCGCCGTGCTCCCCCTTCCCGCGCGTGTGCGCTAGTCCGCCGCCGCTACGGTGGCCGTGAAGCCCGAGCCCTGGGCGATCCTCGCCATGCCGTCCAGCCCGAACTCGGCCGGGGTGCGGCCCGCGAGCCTCGCATCCCGCACCTCCTGTTAGCTGGGGCGCCACCCGCTGTCCACGAGGACGTCGTCTGGCGTGTCCGTCCAGTGCCAAGCCTGGCACCCGGTGGTCTGTGCGTGGTGCTTCATGACTTGGAGCTCGTAGTCGAACCACGTCGACGGAGGGGGTTGTGCCAGTCTCCCGCCGGTGCCGCCGCGGTCCCTCCAGCGCATCGCGCCGCGGACCGACGCACCGGTGTTCGCAGCAGCTGTGCTCACCTCCCGGTCGCTGCCCCGCGACGCCGCTGGGATCTGCGGGGGGCTGCGACGCGGCGGCGTCCCCCTCCTCGGGGGGCTGCTGTGCCTGGAGTTCGAGGGCGACTGCATCGCGCGGGTCCGTCAGCGGTGGCCGACAACGTTGACGTGCACCTGCGTCCGCGGTGGGGGCGGGGGGGCCGTCGGTCGGTCGTCGGCGCGCGCGATCGATGTCCGTCGGTCGCTCGCACGTTCGGGGGGAGCGCCGCCGCGGAGCACGCCTCTCTCGTCGCGGGCGCTGCGCGGGTGGCCATATGTCATATGCAATGCACAGCTAGTCGGCGAGAGCCGCGCAATCGGGCCGTCGAATGCGGTTCTAGCGCGACAAATCGCCGTGTATATTCTCAGAAACGCCGTCGAGGGTCGAGCAGCGCGTCCATGGCCGCTCGTCTGCGCGGAATACGAACCGATCGAGGTTGCAGCAGCGAACAGTCAGACACGGCGCCACGGGCCGCGCGCGCCCCGAGCAACGATCAAAATTAGGCGGTGCGAGCTCTGAGCGACCTCGACGGGCAAGCTGCACGACCGAACTGGTACTGGGACAGCATCATGGTTGCCCGTGCGTCCACGCACGCGCGCCGCGGCGGGCGCGAGGTGCGGGCGCTGCGCGGCGAGATCCCCGTGCCGACGGGACCGATGCGCGATGGCACGCCCGAGCGACGGCGGGAGGGCGGCACCGCGGGAACGTGCGCGGCTCTCGTTGCAGGTCGCCTAGGCGGCAGGATCGCAGCCGATCGCGCGGCGCGCTGGCGGTCCAGCGCGCGCGTGGATGGGCACGGCAGGACGGCGCGCGCACAGGTGGACGTCGGAGGGCTGTGCGCGTGGGCCGACGGGCCGGGGGGGCGCGATCGCGGCTTGAAAATGCGCCTCGTGCCCTAGCTGCCTCTAGGCGGCACGAGCGCGGATGATCCGGCGCGCGGCGGGGCCGATCGCGCGTGGATGGGCACGGCAGGAAGGCGCGCGCTCAGGTGGACGTCGGAGGGCTGTGCGCGTGGGCCGACGGGCCGGGGGGGCGCGATCGCGGCTTGAAAATGCGCCAGCAGCGAACAGTCGGAGCTCACCTCGGCGCCACGGAAGGTTGTTCGAGGGTGTCGTGGTCTGCGACGCGGATCTTCGACCAAGTCTCTCGTGACTTGCGGCGACGCGCCACATCACGTGCCATCAGGCTGACCCCCCCGCCTACGTCGTTGCTTACAGTCGTCACGCTGTCAGGTCCACGCAAGCCCGCGGTCCGACCGGTTCAGCGCCCTGGCGGGCTCTCAGCGTCCATGCGTCCACCTGCTCGAGCCACTCGAGGCCGGCCGCCCGACGAGACGCGCCGGAGCGACCCGAGCGCAACTGCACAGCCCCCGGGTCGCCCTCCCGCCCTCTGTGCGGGCTGCAGCGGGCCGGCGCCGCGGCCACTCGCGCCCGAGTGTGTCGCAGCGCACCGCCGCGCTGCCCGTACGCGCGCCTCGGGCCCACGCACGGCGCACCCCGGCAGCGTCCAGGCTGCGCTGGGGCCCAGGCGCCCTTCCCTTCGAGCACCGCGCCCGGCAGGTGCCGCAAGCACTTGCACCCGAACGCACGCGTGGCATTCGCCTCGTGCGCCCAAACGGGCTCCGCCGCGTTGGGTCCGCGCGCGGCGCGGGGCGCGTGTTGTCCATGGACACATCTCGCGCGACCGGCGCGTCTTCGGGGGCGGAGGGGCGCTCCCGCGATGGAGAGTCGCGCCCTCACGGGGACTCGCGTCGAGTGCGTCGCCTGCGGTCCGGCAAGCTTTGCCAGGTGAGCCTCTCGCGCGTCCGCTGCCTTGTTGCGGGAACGCTCCCGCCTGCCGGCCGCGCCTCCGACGCCACGGGCGCCCCGGAACTGCGCGCGCAGGTGGACGCCGGTGTACGAAAGCCCGAGCGCGCGGAATCTCCGTGCCGGGGAGCTCGCACGTCGCGCCGCCCTCCCAGCAAGGAGTGCACGGAGTGCGGCGCTCGGGTGCCGCCCAACTCCAACGCGTGTCCGCACGGACACTCGTTCAGCAACCGGAGGGGCGAGGCCGGGTTCACCCCGCAGGCGCGGAAGGCCCTTGCGCTCGCTCGCAAGCTCAAGGCGCAGGCGCAGTACTACGTGCAGTGGCGCGGCGGCGATGAGCGGTACCGGGGGGACGACGACCAGCACGTCGTGTGGGCGTGCCAGCTGCAGAGCTCTACCTGCAAACAGCCCGGTTGCGACGTCCACGTCGTCGTCGGCGGCCCCTACTGCCAGGAGCACGCTCGGACCGTGCTCGGCGTGGACATCGTCGAGTGCGAGCACGGCCTGGGCCTGGTGGCTGCGCGCGACTTCCGGCGGGGGGAGTTCGTCTGCCCTTACGAGGGCGACCTCATGAGCCGCGCGCAGATGGACCAGAGGTACGAGGACACGGTCGCCGGCGACGAGGGGGATGCCCCCTACTGCATCCACCTGGGAGGCGACGCGTTCTTCGACGCGGCCCGGTCCAGGTCGATCGGAAGCCTCGCCAACCATGCCGCCGGCGAGGCGGCGAACTGCAAGTGCTTCGTCCCGAGGCGCGGGAGGAAGACGCGGACGGGAGCGACCCCGGCGTGGACCGGCGTGGGCCTGAGGGCCCTGCGACCGATCGCGTGCGGGACCCCGATCACGTGGGATTACGGGACGGAGTACGTCATGCCCGGCGACCGCGACGGCAGCGGGCCCGGCAGCGCGCTGCATCACTGCACGCTGCCGGGTCTGCTGCCCGCCAGCCTGCGCAAGTGTGCCGCGGACGCGAACCCCGCCGCAGCCGCCCGCGGCCCGACCGAGCAGGCGCGGCGGGAGAGCCTCCGAGGCGGCGCAAGGAAGCCGCCCCTCCGCCTGAACCTGTGATCACTGTGAACCTGTTCGAACGATCTGTCGAGTGCACCTGCGTCGCATTCGACGCGAAGCATGCGTCTTCGCCCCGGGCGGCGACACAGTGCGCGCCCGCGCCGTCCCCCGAGCCCCTTCTGCCCACCACCACCTTGCAACCCTCTAGTCTATCGAGCTCGAGCTGTTCGCGGGATCACTCCTCTGCGGCAATGAGAGCGGGCACTACTTGGGCACCGAGCGGATGATGAGGCGAGGTGATGTGCTGTGAGGTGATGTCGCGTTCTTCGCGTCGTCAGCCATGAGGCTTTGGGACCTGAAAGATCATTCGACTAGGTGGCGAGTCATGCCAATCCCCCACCGTTATGGTAGCGACAGGTTCGGCAGCTGTGACAGAGTCAGCCTGAGCAGATCCTCGATGCCGCGAGCGAAGTCAGTCAGTGCTGTCCTGCCTGGTCAAGCGTCGTGCCGAACGTCTCCCAGTCAGTCAGCCATCACAGTCCGCATTCCGCGGAGGCGCCACTCCTGCGACCGCCACCCGCATCCGGGCGACCAGAAGACCAGGCAGCAGCGGCAGTGCGACTGCTATAAGCCGAGCAGTGCAACTGTTTCTGTTTCTGGGGTTGTTATCATCAAACGCCCGATGTCCACGTGGGGAAGAAAGCGCACGGTAGCGCCCAGGTCTCCAAGCACGCGACCGGGGGCGCCAAAGCGAGAGTCGCGCAAACGGGGCGGCGCGGTGCGAGGAGCGGGGGTGGCACGTCCCTGACCCGACCTGCTATGTTGTCGTCCTAGTCGTGGCGCCCGGGGCCCGGGAAGGCCCAGACGGCCCACGGGCGCGGCGCATGCACGCGAGACAGACAGGGTCGGTCGGGCGGGGAGCGCGTGCACCGCATGTACAGGGCATGGACAGCATGAACTGACTCCATGCCTTCGTGGCGTTCGCGAGCGCGCCTGCGGCCATCTCCGACTTGAGGACGCAAGCGAGCACGCAGGTCCGCACTCGGTGGTCCACGGGTCGAGGTAAAGCTCCCGTCCGAGCCGAGCGCCGCGCAGAAGACCGAGGTGCGAGTGTTGATGCGTCATGATGCTCTCGACTGAAGCTCCGCGGCTCAAGACGGCTCCCAGCGCACCTCGCGCTTGTGGGACTGCACGTGCGGCGCCCGACGGGGCGATCTCGGGCGGCGCCACTGCCGCAGGACTGCAGAGTGCATGCCAGCTGGGGACTGGCAGCGCCTCGCTGCGGGACTCGAGTCGTCGGTGCTCCTGCAGGGACTTGATACACGGATGACGGAACCAGGAGGATCGCTTCGGAGCGCCTCCTCGGCGCTGATCGATCCGCACGGCGGCCGCGTGGCCGGGCTACCGCAGCTGCCGTCGCTTCATCGCCCGGGCACGCTTTTTTGCGAGGGCGAGCATGTATTGCGCGCACTGCAAGGCACGCATCATCCATAGTCGCGGCGTCGGGGCCGGTCCAAACTGATTTGAAAGTCCCCGTGCGGTCGCTGGCGAGGTCCGTCAATTCGTCACAGGAGCCACTGCAGGAGCCAATACTGCACTATGTGTGCGAAAGTATCAAATCTGTTTAACAATGTTGCAAAATTATCACCAAACAGGTTGGGCGCCGTTTTTGCGCACAGGTGGCTTCCTCGAACGAATATATAATCTGGTGCCGTACACGCACCAATACCAGAACACCAGTATTATTTTTCTTATCAAGTACTAGGTTAGCTGGCCTTCGTGCTGGCGGTGCACCCCGATCATCGATGGTTCCTGCGGGCGTCCCCACAAATCCACGATTCACAACGTCTTCTTGCTCGAAGTGCGAACTCGGCGCCCTATCTCGTTGTGCACTCGTCCCCACGGCGCCGGTGTCTCCTGGCTCCCCCCGCGCCCTCCCCCGCGCCCTCCCCCCGCCCTCCCCGCGCGCCGCCGCCGAGGGCTCGCTGAACAGCCACGCGCCCCGCGCGACCTCTCCGCTCGAAGCGTCACGCCCTCGCCATGTCCTTGGCAGAAGCCAATTGTACAGACGCAGCAAGCCCCCGTCCAGAACGGCCGACAGGGCGCGGATGCGAAGCGCGTCGAGCAGCCTCGGCGCGCCTCGCGCACGGCGTGCCTGGAGCGCGGCGCGTGCTGCAGCGCGCCGCTCCCGCAAGTGTTGCGACGGGCAGACACCCACCGAGTCGCTGCTCGGACGAGGTCACAGTCGGCGTCCCGCCCGACCCCGCGGCCCTCCACGCGCACGCGCCACGCCCTCCCGGCACCCCGCGAGCCCCGCGCGCGTGACGGCCCAGGACATGTCGCTGTGCCTCTGATCAGCCTCACCTGCGGCTGCTCGCGCCTATGGACGAGCCCATAGCGCCAGAGGCGGGCCCCGCCACGGCGTTGCCCACCTGACGGTACCGGTCCCCCAGGGGGCCGGCCAGGCGCAGCGTGTCGGGGAGGCCCTGCAGCCGCGCGCTCTCCCGCACGGTCAGCATGCGGCGCTGGTCGTAGTGGAGCACGCGCCGCGAGGGGCTCGTGATCCTCGCATCTGCGGTGATGGTGTGCGAAGGCTGATCGGGATCGATCCGGTACATCGCGGCGCGCGGCGCCGCGATGCCGGCGGCGGCGACCCCACCATCCCCGCGGGCTCCCGGTGCCCCCCCCGGGGCGGCGGCGCCCGAGTTCTCCCCGCGGTCATGCGCATCGGCGGGAGGCGGCGCTCCGAACAGGTCCTTCCACCGCCGCGACGACAGGGGCCGCGGGACGTGGTCGTAGAGCACGTCGCCGCCGCCGCGGGCCCGAGCCTGGAACGCGTTCGTCGGGGGCCCGCCGTACTCCACCCCGCGGTCGCACAGTGCGGGATCGTCGCCGTTGCGGGCTTCGGGGAGGTCGCCGATCGCGTCTCGCACGGTCACCGCGGGGGCAAGGTTGTCGTGGTCGGGGGGGCCCAGGGCGCGGCAGGCCAGGTCGCTCCTGCGCGGGAAGAGGGTGATTCCCGTCGTGCGGTACACGTGGGTCGGCGCCGGCCACTCGGGGAGCCGCTGGCCCTCCCCCGCGCGCGCCCCGACGACGAACAGGCGCGGACGGTGCTGCGGCGCGCCGTACGCGCTGGCGGGGAGGACGCCGAGGCGGACCTGGTAGCCGAGGTCGATCATGGTGCGGACGACCTTGGCGATAGTGCGGCCGTCGCCGTGGGCGGCCAGGCGCGGCACGTTCTCCATGAGAACGAACCGCGGCTTGTACACCTCGCAGACGGACAAGAACACGGCCGTCATGGCGTTGTGCCACATCGACCGCGGACTTCTCGGGTCGCGGTTCAGGCCCGAGAAGCCCTGGCACGGCGGGCCGCCGCACACCAGGTCGACCTCGCCCCTGCCCGGCAGCGCGTCCTCTTCGCGGCCGGCGGCCGGCGGCGACGCCCCGGCACCGTCGCCCGCGTCGTGGGCGCTGAAGGCCCGCCGCAGAAAGCTGCAGACGTCCTCCGCGAGCACGTGGGCGTCGGGGAAGTTCGCGGCGAAGGCGGAGGCCGCCGCCCGGTCGCGCTCGACGGCCCAGGCGGTCACGATGCCGCCGGAGGCCTCGAGCCCGGCCGAGAGCCCTCCGCAACCGCAGAAGACGTCGAGCGCGCGCAGCGGCTCGATCCGCACGGCCGCAGAGGACCCCGGGCGCTGGAGGTCGGGCGGGCGCGAGGTGGCCGCATCGCGCGCCCCTCCGCCCAGCAGCGCGAACTCGTCCGCGTCCGGGTCGCGGAACGCGCCACGCGCGGCGACGAGGTCGCGCCGCAGCCGCAGGGGCCTCCCCCGCGCATGTGCAACGTGGCACTCCTTTCCCGGAGCGCCGCCGCCCGCTCGGCGCGGTCGTGGCGGCTGGATGCGCCCGTCGGGCAGGCGGGCGACGACCTCGACGGCCTCCTGCGACGGAAGGGGCGCGGCCGCGGGGGGAGGGCGGGTTGGTTGCAGCACGGGGCTGGGCGCCTCACTGGCGCGCACGCGTGCGGCGCACGCCGCACGGGCGGTGGCGTCGTGCACGAGCTGGCGTCGCGGCAGGATGCTCACCAGGTCCACGTCGACGTCGTCCTCGGTCAGGAACAGCTCGTCGGGTGCGGCCTCGTCCTGCAGCAGCGTGCCCGTCCCGCGGGCCAACCTGCGAACGCGCACCGTCCCGCGCCCGGAGCCGCGCCCACCACCGCCCCGCGAGCCTTCCGCGTCTCGGTCGCCGTGCGACGGCGTCCAGGAGCGCCCCGCGATCCCGTACGCCACGTGCTGGTCGTCAGATGGCCGCCAGGCGACGACGCACCCGCCGCCGGCGGTGCGCGGCGGAGGGACCCGCGCGTCCGAGCGCGCTCTGGAGCTGGGCCCCTCGTCGTCCTCCCGGCCGCGGAGAAGCTCCAGGCCGCCGAAGTGGTCCTGGAAGACGCTGCCGACGATCCGCGTCACGGGAGGGGGGGGGTCGCGGAACGCGGGCGCCAGTCGCGGTCGCTTGGCGGGTGGAGGCGCGGCCGCGCGCCGAAGCTCGAGCGCGTGCTTGTCGACCTGGCGGAGCAGCCCGCAGTGCCGCACCTCCGCCCGGCAGTGCTTGCCAAACACCTCCCGCAGGTCCCCCGCGTGCTCCGCCAGGAACCGTTTTGCGGCCGGCTCGGAGGTGGCGACGTGGATGGTGGAGCCTGCGCCCTGGGCGACCAGCCAGCCCGCCGCATTGTCCAGCGAGAAGGACGCCGCGCGGTCGCGCTCGCACACGACCAGCAGCAGCGCCCGGGCGACCAGGATCGGCCGCGTGACGTCCGCGCAGGACGGAGCGATCGACTGCGGAGTGCCCGTCAGGTGGACGGCGGTCGCGTCGATCATCCGCCTACGGACGCCGGCCTTGGTGCCCAGCCGGCGCACCGCGGGGCTGGGGCCCTTGTGGCGCGGCTTCACGAAGAGGTATCCGCACTCGGGGCACTTCTTATTCGCGTTCGGGCACAGGGCACCGCACACCGGGGAGGCGGTGGAGCGGCACCGCTTCATGGCCGGCGGTGCCTGCGGGCCACACACAGGAGGGCGAGGGAAGCCACATCAGCCGACCGGCATCGCGGCGCCACCGCCGCACCGGAGGACGCCTCGGAGACGAAAAGCGGTGGCGCGCACGACCGCGCACCCACGTCGTCGCGCCATGCGCGCGGACAGGGCCGTGCGTTGACCAACGAGGCGAACGAGCGCGCCCCTCCTGCGCGCGCGCACGAGCGGCAGCGACCCCCTGTCCTCGCGCGTGGCGCGCCATCCACATCTACTCGAGACGGCAACCCCACGCCAGCGCGGCACGGGGCGCGGCGCGCGCGCGGCCGGCGTGAGGAGCCCAGCAGCGCCTGATGCGGGGCGCTGAGGCGCGGTGCGGTCGCTGGAGGGGGAGGCGCGAGCAGGGGCGGACGACGGCGGTCACGCACCTTGCGAGCGCGTCGCGGTGGCTCGGCCCCGTCCGTCGCCGGGTCGGCGCTGGCCGGGCAGATGGCAGGCAACTCCCGCCCGTCGCGCAGGCGCATCGCCATCTCGAGCGCGGAAGACCTCCTCTCCCAGCAGGAACCACCCGGAGCAGGCGACGAGGGCGGCGAACCTCGGCACACGACCGCAGAAGGCGCCCGTGCGCGCCGCCGCTTCCTTGCGCCCTCCACTCGCCCGCGGACGGGCCGGGAAGCCAGGAGAACGGTCCAGGCGGGTCAAGAGAGGGAGCAGCTTCGTCTCGATGCGCGCCTCGGCGCGAGACGCGTCGTCGGTCGGCACGGGGAGCGTGTGTACGCGACAGAAGCCCCCAATGGCTCTGCTCCCGCTCAGTGGCACGTACAGCGCTGCGCAGGATGCCACGGGGCCCGGCGACAATGGAAGCGGCAGTGGCTGCGTGCTCCCTCGCCCTTCGCGGCTGCACGCGCGGACGGTCCCGGACCGTCCGCAGCCTGATGCGGCGACCGGAGGACTCCGAGTTGACTCTGCCTGCCGGAAGCGCCGCGGGCCCTCGCCGACGCCACCAGGGTCGCTGCACGGCCGTGCGAATGCAGTGGACAGCGGCGGCGACCACGTGGCGGAGCAAGACGGCCCGTTCGATGCTCGGGCTGGTTTTCAGACTGAGACTGAAACTTACAAACCGGAGGTTTGTAAGCAACCGAGCACATCGCACCTGTGCTGGTAGAGCCGCGGAACAAGCGCGAGCGCTGCAGCAGGCCTCGGCGAACCATCAGCGGCGAACGAAGGTGGCCGGCGTGCGACAGACCGACACCGAGACTTACAGACCGGAGGCCCCGTGCGGCCGGCGGAGGCAGGGGCGGCCGAGGCCCCCCCGCCATCCCAATCGGCCCGCGAGAGCGCCAACGGTCGCTGCGCCACCGCCGGACGCGAAAGCCCAGGGCGAGCCCGCACTGTCCCACTCAGATGACATTGAAAACATCCAAAAGACGTTTTAATGCGTTTTTGACCGAAGGTGTTTCTTGAATAAAATAATGCGGACTTATTATTATAATTATAATTATAATATCAAAATGTGTTTTGGTTACCTCCACATTATAATGTGTTGTCTCAGTGCGTTTCTTGCACAGTCCCCAAGCGGCCGCGGAAACGGGCCCAGGCGTGGCTCAATCCAGTTCACACTGGCTGACCGGGGTTTCGCTGGCTCGAGCGCAAGCCAAGGCGTCGCGGGGGGGTCGTCGCGGCGGCAGGTTGTGCGCCCTTGACATGTCCTGCAGCTGCCCTGCCGGCCGCGGCCGCGGCCCCCCCCGCCGCGTCCTCCCGCGCCCCCGCGCCGCTTGCCACGGCTCGCGGCCGCTGGCGACGGCCCGTCCTCGTCATCGGGTATTGCCGCCACCACCGCCTCGGCCATGTCCACGGCGTCGGCCGGCGACAGCCTAGCGGCCTTGGGCGCATGGAGCCGCTCGTAGACGCCGGGCAGCGCCGCGCGAACCAGGGGGTGTTCGTGCATGGCGTCCAACAGTCGGCCTCGCAGGGCCTTGTCAGGTCCTGCCACTGCACGCAGCATCGGTTCCGGCCTCTTTCCTACGCAGCCCAGCCGGTCCAGCAGCGCGCGCTCCCGATCCCTCATGTCGAAGGCAGTGGGAATGGCGAGCGTTGACCCACCACTGCTGGATCCCACGCCTGGCGGCGGCACGAGCAGCGCCATGACCAGAAGGAAGCGCCTCGCCATGAGCAAATCCCACCACCCCTCAAGCCTCTCGGGGCACGCATCCTCGACGATGCGCACCGGCGGCAGCTCGAGCTTCCCCCCCGAAGCAACCGCGGCCGCACCCAGCTCGGTCGTCACCACGTTCTCGAGCCACTCGAGGGAGTTCGTGGTGCCGGCGTCGATGTCTTGTTCTTGCGCGCCGCCGGAGGGCGTGCCCGCCACAACCTCGTCTGCGCCGCCCGCCTCTCGCGCGCAAGCGGCCGTTGCGCCGCCCGAAGGCGCGCTGCCAGCGCCGACGCCGGACGGCGATGGCGTACGACACGCGCTGCCGCCCTCCTCCGAAGGAGCACCCCCATCAAGATCGAGCAGCACCAGCTGCATCGGCGGCGCCGAGGTGCTGTCGTCCGCGTCCTTGGGCTCCGGCACGTGCACCGGCCGGCACAGCAGTGGGCATTCATTGAGGACCACGCCGCAATCCTCGCAGTACCAGAAGAAGAGATCCTGCCCTCCGTGGCGACGTAAGGTAGCGACGCTCTCTCTTTTGCATTTGGGACACCAGACGATCGCTGCGGAGCACTTGGTAGAGCAACGAACCATCGGTGAGCGACTGGGCCGGCCGTGCCGCGGGCGCGCACGACGAAACGCACGGGCACGACATCCTGCACGCGGGTTCTTACCGCTCAAACACATCCGCGTGAATTGACAAGCGTCGTCTTCCTTCCAGGATCCCCGCAGCATCTCGACGTAGCGGGAGGCGCGTTCGGCGTCGGCGCCGCCAGCGCCCGGGCTGGGACCTCCCTCCTGAGTTCCGGCAACGGAGCACGGCCCAGCAGCGAGATCCACGTGGACCATATGTTGCACTTCCCGCCCTCGTCGAACTTCTGCCGCAGCCACAGGCGGCGGTTGTGCTCCCAGCGGGCCAACCCGATGATGGCGGCCGGCGGGCAGTACAGGTGTCCCTGGTCGTCCCGCCGCGTCCAGTACTCCGGGCACGCCAGGGGGGGGCCGGCGTCGGGTTGAAGCTGCCCGTCTTCCTGCCGCTGAGCGGTGCCGGGGCCTCCTCGCGCTTCAGCCCCCAGGCGACGGACACGAGCCGCGCATGCGTGCTCATCACCGTGAACAACGGCACCGAGAGCACGCGGTCCGAGTGCGTGTGAGCGTCGTTGCGCTTGCGCCGCGAGCTGCAGCGCCTCGTTGCGCAGCTCCGCCGTCGCTGGGCAGTCGGGTCGAAGCCAAGGATCGTACAGCCACTGGACCTGCATGGATTCCACGCAATCGCCCGTGATCGGACCCTGGCCGTGCGATGCTCATACAAGCAGATTGACTTGCATGCATGCTGGCGCCGAAGTGGGCCGACGACGACGGTGCGCCCGTCAGCGCGGGCTGCGCGCGTGCACACCCGCGACCGGCAGCAGGGACCCGCACGGTCGCGGACTGGTGCGGCACGCGTGCACGTATGCATGCTCACCTTCTGTGCGCCTCGCTTCGACCTCTCCAACCCCATATCGCGCTTCCTCTCGTTCACGTGCTCGCTTTTGAGCTTGGCGGCCACAAACGAGACGTGCACGCCGCGCTTGGGGATCTGTAAACGGCCCTCTAGGCGGTCTATCGCCTGCAGCGCCTCGCTGTACGTGCACTCCAGCAACACATGCGGCTGCTGCAGGAGCGGACGCAGCACCCAGCACTCGCACGCCTTCGGCGGGTTCGGTGCGCGCCGACAGCGCGCGCAGCTGTCTCCGTGCCTGCGAGCCAACGCGCCGTCGCGTGTTGTCAAAGCGCGCCCGCGGCTCAGAGAGGACGGCGTGCGAAGCGCGCAGAGCGGAAGCGTTCTCACCGGAGGAACTTGCTGCGGAGCGCGACTTGCACGACGTCGTGCACCGCGTCACTATATGCTCGGGCGTGCTCGCTGGGCAGGTGCTTGTTGTCTGCACCCCGTATGTGGCCGAGCCCGCACCCCATGCGGTGGCTTGTACCGTCGTCGGCATCTCCCTCCTCCGTGCCGCCTCCGGTGCGCCCCTCGTTCGCTGCCTTGCGCTTCTTCCCCTTCTCTGCGGCAACAGACACCTCAACAACCCAGGTTAACTTTGCAGCGACCAGTTCGCTCGCGAGGGCCCGTAACGGCAACGGTGCGGCCAGCCGCCGCAGGACGACAATTGCACGTCACGGAATCGCGGGTCGGGGCGGCATGTGAGCGCACAGAGAGGGAGCGGGCCGTGCCTTCCTTCACCGCGACGAACACGACGGGCAAGCGCTGCGGCGGGCCGCCCTCCGCGTCCGGGTCCTGCACCCGCGTGTACTGCTTGTCCCGAGCTATATTCTTTTTCGCGTCGTTATTCAAGCACTTCTCGCACAGCAGCGCGAGGCGCTGGGTATCCCAGGTTTCCTTGGCGATTGAATACCTCCTTTCCTCGTCCTCGAACAGGAGTGCGCTCTTCGCCTGCTTCACCCTGAAGTGCTGTCGTATGCGTGCATGCACTTGCTGGAACGTTGGGTGGCCAGTGTACGAGACAACGACGTCTGGATGGCACGCGCTCCCTCCCTCGCCGCCCTCGTCCTTGAAACGCCGAAGGACGAGCCGGAATGATACTATGTCCTCGTCCCTCATAGTGCTGTGCGCGGTTTGCTGCACGGCCGCGGGACCACGAGGGCAAGGAGCCGCCGGGAGCGCCCTCCCGCCCTGACTGCAGCAGGGGGTCAGTCCGACTGAGTCGGCCCGCGCGCCTCAGGGCTCGTGTGCGCAGCGACCTGCATGCGGTGCGCAATGCCCGCATAGTGCTCCTGCTTCTCGCGAAGCATCTTCCGCCGCGCACCCCGCAGCTGCCGGCACGCAGCCGCCGACCGCCGCGCCTGGGTGGAGGGGTGCGTGTGCACGTTCACCCGACGGATTCCCGGCGCATGTGCGCGTGCCGCCTGGCGCGCGACGGTTACTTCGGGGCGACCCGAACCGATCGGCGCGTCGCAGATCGCGGCCGCGGCGCAGGACCACGCCCCCGGCAGCAGTAGCCTGAACGGAGCCGGGCGACGACCACCATGCCTAGGACGCGGCGAACGAACACGTTTTGGAACAAAGAAGTCTCCGACGCGGTGTGGGCGGTGTACCAGCGCGTCCCGTTCGACGACACGCGCCCTTCGTGGGGGAAGCTGGCTCACGCAGTCCAAGACGACCTGATCGGCGCCGTGATGAGGGTGAAGAAGTGCAAGCGCCGCGACGCACGCCTCCGCTTGACCCGCGAGATCAACAAGATGCGGAAGGTCGGCGCGACGTCCCGGGGGCTCCAGAAGCCGAAACGCGTGTCTCCTGGCCTGGCGCCACTCCCCGGCGCGCCCACGGTCCGCACGGTGGATATCCGTGGCTTCAGGGGCGTTGGGGTGTACCACTGTGCACAGATCCTGTCAGGTACGTCAGAGAGACGCCGTCTGGTCGCGGACGAGACGCACACGCACGTGAGTGCCTGTCGAGGGGCGCAGGCTGTTACACGCTCTCAGGCGCTGGCGCCGCATCGCCTGCCCGATCCGATCGCCTCCAACGCGAGCCACAGCGATGTTCATATCCGGCATCGCCCCGTCGCGGTCGGCGCAGACCTCAAGCTGTCGGACACGCTCAGAGAGGCCGCACGACACATCGTGCGGGTCGGGGCCGATAGCTCGGCCGAGTCGGGCCATCGCTTCGCGGCGCTGTGGCTCAACGGAGACCCGACTGCGCCGACGGGCCGTTCGAGCGGGGGGAGCGTGGAGGGGCCGTCGCCGCTAGAGCTGGCCCAGGGTGCGGTACGCACGCTGCTCGACAACGAGGGCTTCGGGGCGGTCCTCGAGGCATACGCGGCGTTCTTCGGACTGGCCGGCGTCCCCGCCGTGAACAACGTCTACTTGCTCGAGGTGTGCGCTCTTCCGCCCCCGCGGCGCCAGTGTCCCCTGCGAGTGTCTCTCTCTCTTCCATGCTCGTTGCCGCCCAGGGCTCGCTGGACGGCTTCGCACCCTGCGCGACCTCACCGTCGCCCGCCCTCGCGACGACCGCTCGCAGTACGACCCCAAGAAGACTGGCAGCAACTGTCTGGGCTGGCACTTCGACGAGTCGACCTTCACGGCCGTCGTGGTGCTCCAGCCGGCCGAGGGCGGCAGCTGGAGCGGCGGCGACCTCCTCCTCAGCGTGCCCGAGGGGGCCATCGTCCCGGACGGGGACGTGGTGCGCGCCGTCGACCGCAATGCGGTGTATCACGGCGTGAGCAAGAAGGGCTCGGTGGAGCCGCTGGAGGACAGCAGCATCTACGCCCTGCGCCTCGGCCCCGGAGATGTGTGCCTGAGCGGCGGGGTGTTGCACGCGGTCGACCGCGTGCAGGGCAGCACGAAGCGACACGCCCTCGCCATGTTCTTTGGCAAGCCCCTCGCCAGAATCGCCGAGAAGGAACCAGCGTCGTCGTGACGGGAGGTGGGAAGCGGAGGGCCGCGATCGGCCCCGGCGCACCAGGCGCACGGCGTTTCCTGTGGGCCCCGCGCGCTCCTCGCTGTAACACGTCGACGACGTCGCACGTGTGTGGCAACATGACCAACCGCGCGACGTTGTGCCGGCGGCCGCTGTCATGGCCGCTCCCGCTCGCTGCCCGATGCCCGCACCCACACGTGCGTCCGGACTGCTGTGTGAGTCTCGAACGAAATCAAAATTGTTGTCTTGTCGCACCCGTCGAAAGTCTGCCGCTTCTGCGTGGACGTGGCGGCATCGCCCGCCCCGGAGGACCTCCGCCACCTGCTGCTGGACTGCTGCGCCCCAGCGGTACGCTCTCTCCGGGAACGAGCGGGCCTGGCCACGGACTCGTCTGGGCAGCTCACGCTGCCACCACACCACCCCCGCCCGCTGCCGATGTGCCCCTGTCGTCCACGGCAACTGTTGGACAGCGCCGCCGCTTCGCTCTCAACTGCCGGCTACGCCAGCACCTCGAGGACCTGTACGGCGCTGCAACACTCGACTCGGAAGCCGCTGCCAACGCTGCAGTGCGTTATCTCCTGAACCTGCCGAATCAGCGAGGCATGGCGATCTTCGCTCGTGGCATCGAGGATCTGCTCCAGGCTGACTCTGTCACAGCTGCCGAACCTGTTGCTACCATAACGGTGGGGGGTTGAGCATGACTCGCCACCTAGTCGAATGATCTTTTCAGGTCCCAAAGCCTTATGGCTGACGACGCGAAGAATGTGACACCTCACCTCAGCAGCCCGATCCTGCCGTACAGCCCGAGCCGCGTCGCGCGCTCCTGCTGCCACGCCTGCACAAAGTTCACACGACCACTGAGTGCCTCCACATCACGATGGATGACCTGCTGTGACTTGACTTGACTTGTTCACACCCCGAAGAACGGGTCGCACCGCCAGAGTAGGTTCTACCCCGCTCTATAACGGCACCAGTTTGTCAGAAACGCCACGGGATCAGGTGCCCATCTCCTGCCGATGGAACAAAGGGAAGTGGCAGACAGCCCGCGCCGGGAGGCGGCGGGCGCAGCGAGGGCCGCCGCGGGGAAACGGGGGGGGCGGGCGTACCGATGGCCGACATGCGAGCAGTGTTTAAAGTTTACAGGCACTTGACAGCCTGGGGCTAGAGCTCCGCAGCACGCGCGACCTCGGCGCCGCAGCAACGAGATGCGCGCGCACCGCCGGGCTCTGAGCAGGGTTTCGGCCACGGGCACACCGCACCGCATTAGCACGCATGACAGGGCAGTGTGAGGGCATGACATGATTCATTCTCTGTCACCAGTCGAAGCGGGGGGGCACGGGTCGCTGGAAATACCGCTCGGACCTGGTCGACAGCACGGACATGCACTTCGGCCGGCAGCTACGCCGCACAGAGCCGAGCGCGCCCCGCAGGCGCCGCACGTGCGTTGCCTGCCTGCACCGCTTGGTTTCTGAGCTCCACCACGTGGAGGTCGAACACGAGGTGCGGCAGCCAGCGGCACAGGCCATGAGACGCATGCGCACGGATTCTTCTCGCGTATTTATCCGGCAGCAACAAAGGCCAGGAGCGCCAAGGGGGCGGCATCTCTCGTGCTGCGCACGGAGTGAGCCCCCGAGGGCGCAGGCGGCCACGCCGTGTGGGGCAGCGAGGGGGCGGTGATGCAGGGCGATCGGGACACGTAGCTCACGGACGCGAAGAGCGTCGGGTCACATTGGTCGTCGTGTGCGTGCAGCGAGAGGGAGAGGGAGAGTTCACGCGACGAGCCGTGGTGCACCCGTTCAGGTGCCGCTGCCGCCTGCAGCGTCCGGCCGTGCTGCGAACTGCGGGCGCGTCGTCCGCACCACGCGGCGGCCACCACCGCTAGGGCCTCCGCAACAGCGCGATCAAACTGCGGCCCTTCAGGTTCCGGCTGACACTCGCGGTGGGCGGCGACCCGGCGGCCTCCGCCTGCGCTTCGCGTGCGTCGCCACCGGCGGCCGTCGCGTCGCGGGCGCCCCGGTCGGCGGCCGGCGCGGGGCTCGTCCGCGCGGGGTCGGCCGATGCCGACCAAGACGTCACGCTGGGCGCCGTCCGGTCGGCCCCGATCCCCGGCGCCATGCCGAGCCCCCGCGCGTCCGGCCGGGCGGCCTTCGGCCTCTTCCTCGGCGGCTCATGGCACCCGCCACCCGCACCCGGCGCCTCCCCGGCATCGCTCGGCCCTGCTGCGTTGCTCGAGGCCTGCCGCTGCAGCTGCGGCGCTGGTTGAGGCCCAGGCCTCACGACAAATTGCAGCGGGCGATATCTCGACCGGGCCGCGTGGGCCGCGCTCCCACCGGCGCCCTGTGCCAGCGTGCAGGGCGCGGGCGCTGCGGACGTCCCCGCCGCCAACGGCGGCCCGACTCCTCCCCTCTCGCCGGGGTCGGCGCGGCCTCCGCCCTGCGCGGTCGAGGTGGTGAACTGCGAGACATCGTAGCACCGCGGCAGCGGATCCGGCAACGTCCACGTCGTAGTCTGGCGCATGTCTTCCTGCAGGGACAACTGCAGCCAACGCCGCGCCTCGGGAACGGAAAGTTCCGGCCCGAGGAACGACGTGTCGTGCGGGTCCGGCATGAGGTGTTCGGCGGGGTTGAGGTCCGGGTGCACCACCATCCCGCCCTCGGGGATGTCCGTGACGTGCGCCATCGCCTGCGAGGTGGGGCGCGCGGGCCGATGCTTGGCGCAGGCCAGCGACGCGCTGCGTGCGCACCCTGGAACCGCCGGCACTGCCGCGAGCAGAGCGTCGCGGCGTGACCGCACCTGTCTCCGCGGGCAATAGACCCGCTGGTGTTGGAACGTCCAGATCGCCCTCTGAACTTCCGCCTCGTACCCGGCCCGAACATTCCACGGCTTGACACCGGGAACAGTGCCATCACGCATATTCTTGCAGGCCTTCACCCAATTGCCGGCGCGCGTCATCGCGCCGTGCGCTATCTTCGGCCCCATGTCTGCAGACCAGCGGCCAGAGCGACGCGGGTGAGCGGTGCGCAGGTGCATCGCTCGTCGGGGCGAGCGGCGCAGCGGCGCCGTCCCGGACGAGGGCACACCGCCGCCGGTGCAGCTTGGCACGTACCTCTCACGCGCGGCGAGTAGTCGCAGCCCGCCAGGACACACATCTCCAGGAACATCTCCGGCGAGAAGCACTTGAAGTCGAGGCCCACGGGATTCGCCTTCTTGGCAAGGTCCTCGAGCGCGAGAACCTGCAGGGTGTGCACGCCGCATGCGACAGAGTAGGGAGTGCGCGCGTGCTGGAAGACGGGGTGTCGCACTGCGTTGCGCCGCGCCGAACGGGGTGCGTCGAGCAGGCAGCCCACCTTCACCCTGTCTGTATTTTTGATTGTTTCGCCCCTGTCGTCCAGCTTGGACAGGACCAGAGGGCACCCGTACGCGAGCAGGTCGGAGTCCTCCGTCAGCACCGCGTCCACGAGACCCTCCCTCGCGAGGTACGCCATCTGCGCGTCGGCCTCGTAGGGCGCGATGATGAACTCGACGCCCAACCTGCGCAGTTCGTCCACACATCTGCAATGCAACGCCGCTCGGGAGTGCGGCACGGTCTCGAGCACCGCCGTGCAGGCGCGTGCGGCATGACAACGTGACAGAGATCTGCGACGAAGCTCGCGAGCCATCCCGACCTGCGCGTCAAGTCGTCGGAGATGCGAATTGCCTTCTCATACCACTTGTCCGCTTCAGACCGTTGACCCTCGGCCGCCAAACGGCGGGCCTCTTCGAGCGCGTGCGCGCGAGCAGTGCGACGTTCGGTGTCGACCGCCCCCTTCGCCGGCAAGGGCGCCCCGTCAAACACGACGACGACTCTGATGTCATAGCAGTTCTTCCAGCGCTCCAACCGCTCGGTCAAAAACCTCACGCAGCTGCATGGAAATATGTTGGAGAACGCGAACCACGTCAGATCGACGCGTCGCGTCGCGTCGCCGCACCGCCCGCTCTCCGTCGCGGGACGACGACGACGGGCCACCCGTCGAGCGCCGCGCTGCTCCGATGCGTCGGCGCATCGGTCGCGTCGGCACGTCGGCGCTTTGCGACGCGACTTCTACATCAAGGGTCCCGCCGCCCAGCGTCTCCGCGCCCGAGCGGCGTTCGGCGCCGGCTCCTGCCTGGACTTCCGAGCCTGCCCGCGGCGGAGGCGTGGCGGGCCGCGCGACGAAAGAAAGCGCGCAATCACGATTGTTCATTTCACGACAACATCCGCGGACCCGTCGTTCCGTTCGCGCAACGGGCGCCCGCGGCCCGCGGCGTGCTCGTCCATGCAAGCAGGCCCGAGGCACGCACCTCGACGTGTTCCCGCCATCCGCAACCTGCCTCGGGCACGTATACGACCCGCGGTGTAGCAGGCAGGATACATCCACGGCCATCCTTGCGCCTCGAAACTGTTCCAAGTGCGTGTGCACGAGAACGTACTTCAGCAGCGGCCACAGGCCACCGATGCCCATGGCGAATGAGGCTGCGGCCCCGATCTGGGCCCGCGAGGTGTCGCGTACGTCGATGACCCACCTCAGTGTCGCGCGGGCGCGGCGCGCGGCGCACACGAGAGCGCGGCCGGTCGCCCCGACGCACACATCCCCCTCCCATGGCCGCCTCCATTAAGTCTCAGGAGGCCTCCAAGGCCGTGACACGCCGTCTGACCGACCCCGCGCGGCGTCCGCGAAACTCGGCACGTGGCCAGCCCTGGCCTGCCGCAGCCCGTTGCCGGGCCGGTCAGGTCCCGGGGCCGCGTTGCGCGGGAACGAGCGCGACTGATGTAGCACGTATCAGCGTCTGCGACCGCGACGAAAAAGCGCCGCGTTCGACCGAGGCCGAGACTTTGATATTTGACCCGCGGTCACGCGGCGTCCTCCGTCGGAGAGCTTCCGTCACGGCCCGTAGACGGCATGTCATGGGCAGCGACTGGGGCACGCGCGCGCGCGCCTTGTGACCTGGCGTCGCATTTCGGTTGCCTCACAGCCCTCACGTGGTCGATATACCCCTAAAACGTCCGGGTTTGCGGCGAGAGCGCCATCTTCGACGTGCACGCCGTCGAGCACAGCTGTGCAGGGCAGACTGGCCTCGAGGCGGACACTCCCGCCTCGTTTCGGCAGTTCTAAGACCCACAACTTGAACGACATAAACGGCCGCCGATGGGGCAAATGGAAGCAGCCGCTGCTTGTGTCCGCGTCCTGCGACGCGAGCGATTTCAAGATCGGCGCCTCCATAGAGGCAGGCCCGCCCGGCTGGGCCGGAACGGAATTTGTCACACACCTTCCGCAAAATCTACGTCAGACATCGTCTACGTTGCGGGAAGTATGGGGCTACGCCGAGTTCGTGAAATACCTCCTCGATAAGGCTCGCGCCGAGGCCATGCCCATGGAGGACCGCACGCTAGTGCTCGACCTTCGCGCGGACAGCCTCAACGGCGTCCGCCGCGTGCTCAATTGGACGTGCGGCCGCTCGGAAGATATGTTCGAAACGAACGAAGCCGTCCGCATCCTCACAGAGCTAGCGCTGCTCGAGCGCTACCAGTGCGTGACCGTTCGCCCGCGCTGGGTCCCTCGAGAGTACATCGCGCACGCGGACGCGTTGTCAAAGATCAACGACATGTTCGACTTCAGCGTCGCAAGCTCGGTCATGGACGATCTGTTCCCATCGGCTGCTGCACGCCCCGATCTGGACGTCTTCGCGTCCGCGCACAACGCGGTATCCGCGCGGTTCTACTCCGAACGCGCCACAACGAACAGCGCGGGTGTGGACGGCCTCATCATGCCATGGAATGGCAACTGTTGCTGGATGTTTCCGCCCCCGCCGTTGCTCGACGCCGTCGTCGCGCGGCTCGCGGTTGAGCACGGCCGCTTCTACCTGGTCACGCCAGACCTGCCGGACGCCACGTGGTGGCCCCCGCTGCAACGGCTGAGCGGCCTAGTGAGCAGCACGCTCCTGCGTGTCAACATCGGTGACAACAAAAGCTCCACGAGCGTCGTAACACCGAACAGTCAGCCGAACGGCGACTACCCCGCACCCCGTGTGCTGTACTCACGGCAGCCCCAGTGCAGACGCTGGCGCCTCTGGCAGCTCGTACTGTAAACGTTTAATGTCTGTGTCCGTCGATCAGATACAGCAACATAGTGTCGGTCGTCGCCCATCGGCCTCGCACCTGCGCCGCCTCGAAGCGCATGCCGTGACCGATAGCGTCCTGCAGCCCGCCGCGGCGGCAGCTGTGCAGCGTCTCGCCGGCACGGACGTCGTGCTCCACGCCGCTGTCGTCGAACCACACGCTCTCGAGCCCCGTCTTGAATCGCTCCAGCAAAGCGCCCACTGTCAGCCGCTCGTTGCTCGGTAGATGACTGCGCCGGTCCGTCGTCCGGAAGATCGGCGACGAGTCCCCGTAATCGAGCCCCGCCGTACGCAATGCACAGCGATACGACGCCAGAGCCGAGGGGAGGTTGAATAAGCCACCGACGTACGTCCTGCCACCGAAGACGACCGGCATTCTGCCCTCGAATTGGAACTCGGGGTAGTCCATCGTGGGCACAACCACGCGTTGGGGAACATTATCACCCGTCTGCGCGGCATGCTTGCTGTGCCGGATCTGCACCTCCAGGATGCCCACGCCGAACACCGGCAGCAGTCCCGGCAGCGGCTCGAACCTCACGTCGCCCCAGTTCAGCTCCACGGCCTCTTCGCCGCGCAGCCATGTTAGGAACAACAGTGCCCAAGCACAGAAGTCTTCGACTGCGCGGAACCAGCGCGCGGTGCCCGGCTCCGCCTGCACACGCAGTACCACACGGACTGTCGTGAACGCCCGAAAGTCCGGAATGACGTTGGGTGTATAGTGGCGTGAGGCAAGCCGCACCTGAAGTTTGCGCAACTCCAAAGAACGCAGAAGGACGGTAGCCTTGGCCCGGGTCAGAGGCACCGCGGGCTGCGCGTCGACGTCCCGCACGTGAAGCCAGTGCGCGAAGCCTTTCTCGAACCGCCCGACCTCCGGGCTAATCAGAGGGTTGCCGACGCCCGTTGCGTGGTCGTACGGCCCCGTGCGCAGCACGGCCTCGAACACCGCCCTGAAATTCGCGATGCTGTTGCGGAGCGTGGCGAGCGCGCAAGTGACGGCGTCGACCTCGCCCGGGACGCGCGTGTGCGCCCGCGGAGCGATCGCAGGCATCTCGTGACCGACGAGCCACTGCAGCGCTGCCGTGGGTCCCACGTTGTCGATGCGCACGTCGCCGTCGGGGAAGTCTTCGGCCAGGTCCGCAATGAGCTGAGCCTCCAGCTGCTCGCGGAGCGTCAGCGTCCCGCGCTTGAGCCCTGCCGCGATCAGAGCGACCGCGTGTTCTCCGGCCTTCCGTAGCGCGGTCTGACGCGGCGACGCCCCGACGGGCAGACGCTCGAGGGCGACGGAGCCGTGTCCCAGGAGCGCGGCGCGCCCCGCGCACTCCAGGCCGTACGTGCTGTCTGGGAGGTGCTTTGCCCGTCGCAGCTGCGGACAGGGTTCCACAGCTCGCGGGATCGGCGCTCGCCCGGGGCGACGCCTCGGACCGGGTGCGCCCTGATGAACCCACTGGGCCTCATCGAGTCCGATCTCTGCGAAGAGCGTGAGTGAGAACTGAAGTAGTTGGGCGCTTAATATGCCTAGCTATAGTTCTCACCACGCGTACCTCGAGGCCCTCTAGGGCCCCGCGCAGAGAGCGGAGAGAATGGGTGTGTTAAGTGTGTGACTGACATAGAGCGTGCCATCCAAGTCAGTCCGCCTGGCGCCCTCACGGGCAGAGACGGCGGCTTCCTCGGGCGCGCTGCCTGCGGGCGCCTGGCCACTCTTCTCACCTTCTGCGGGACGTAGCTCTCGCGTTACCCACCCAACCACTCCCTTCTTAGAGCTGAGCACCTCCGCGCGCTCCCGCGGCCGTCCAGCGCGCCGCACGGCGCCTGCTTCCTCTACCGCGGCCACGCCATGGCTTGGAGCCGCCCGCGGAGCTCCACACACGCTATCTGCCTCGCGGGACCTGGTCTCACGACGGCCCGTCCGAGTAATTATGCTGCTGGCCGCCAATACGCTGCCATGCCTTCTGACGAAGGACGTGGACGGCCTCCACTCCTTGTCTGTGGCTTTTGGCGCCTTCTGCGGAGCACAAAAGCACGCTCGACGCGATTCTAGCTCCATGCGGCATCCGCCTGACAAGGATCTGCACGCGAGCGCTTCGACATGCCGTAGGAGGACGCGGGGCCCGAATCTGGGGAGCAACTGCCTCACCTTGGGCCCTCTGTGCCCCATTTCGGCCTCAAAAACTAATATTCAACGCTGCTTCTAGCGCGCCGAATCCTGTCCCCGCCATCTCCGCGGAGGTCAGCCATCACAGTGGCACCACCCGCCTCTGCAGCGAAGCTCGCCTCGCTTGCCTGCGGGCCACTGAAGTTTGCTAGTCACCGCTTTCTTCGCCCTTCCCACCGCTCCCGGGCGCTTAATATGCCTAGCTATAGTTCTCACCACGCGTACCTCGAGGCCCTCTAGGGCCCCGCGCAGAGAGCGGAGAGAATGGGTGTGTTAAGTGTGTGACTGACATAGAGCGTGCCGCCTCGTCCCACCCCGCGCCCGCGCTGGCCGGTGCTATCCGTCCCCTGCGCGGCGCTCCTCCCCCACCCAGGCGTGCAGGTGCGCACGGACGGCGTCCGCCCCGCCGTAGCTGCGGCGCACACGGAGCCACCAGGGGGCACAGGCACTCACGCTGGACCCGAGGATCTGCATGCACCGGCCCCTCATCGCGCGGGAGCCCGGCACCGTCTCGGACCTCGCGCCACGCCGGAGCGGCCTCGCCACCCGCTCTCCATGCCGTCAGGTGCGCCAGCGCCGTGACGGCACGACAACAACGCCGCCGCGGCTGCGCTCCGCGCCCGGTCAGGCGGGGCCCCGGCAAGCACCTGCTTCCCGGCCGAGGGCCCCAGGGGGGGAACCGGCCCGAGCCCCCCCACCCACGTCGGCACCCCCGTTTGCCGACGTTGCATGCGAAGACAACGATCCGCACCACGCGCGCCCCCCCGCGCCTCTGGAGCAGCACCGACCGTCACCCAGTGGCGGGGACCCGGCGATCGCTGTCGCCCGGCAGGTGCTCTTGGTGTCTGTCTCGGCGCCGCACGGTTTAGAGCAAGGCCGTCGCGTGCAGTCGCAGGCAACCGTGCACCACGAAGTCTGACGGAGTCGCGAGCGCCTGATGGCGTCCCGCGGTACGAGGCACATGCGCCGTCTTTCGCAGCGACGCGGCACTCTAGGGCGTCCCCCGCCCTACACATGCTGTCCATGCCCTGTACATGCGGTGGACACGCTCCCTGCCCGACCGACCCTGTCTGTCTCGCGTACATGCACCGCGCCCGTGGGCCGTCTGGGCCTTCCCGGGCCCCGGGCGCCACAACAAAACGATAACATAGCAGGTCGGGTTGAGGACGTGCCACCCCCGCTCATCGCACCGCGCCGCCCCGTTTGCGCGACTCTCGCTTTGGCGCCCGTGCGCCCTCGAGCCCCCGGTCGCGTGCTTGGAGACCTGGGCGCTACCTTGCGCTTTCATCCCCACGTGGACATCGGGCTGTTTGCACACTGTTTGATGATCAGGTCAGGTCAGGTCTCACAGTCCGCTGATACAACTCAGTCACATGCCACTGTTGCCCGGTCTTCTGGTCGCCCGGATGCGGGTAGCGGTGTAAACTGTGGCGCCTCCGCGGAATGCGGACTGTGTGAACTGACTGACTGCCACCGGTCGCTGCGCTGCCGTCGGACCTTCCTATTGTCCAGCCAATCGCCGGTCGGCTGGTCTTGTGAGCGAGTCAGTCAGTCAGGTATGTCTCGCTCTCGCGCTCCCGCTTCGCGATGCGCTCCTTCAGCCACTCCTTGAACCACGGCGCGCGCTCCACGACCTTCATCTCCTCCGCCGACAGCTTCGTGTTCTGGCGCATCCCCCGGACCCAGTTCGGGGCGATGCGGTTCAGGAAGTCGCCCAGGTTCACCTCCATCTCGGTGTCGTCGTCGAGGACGTAGACCTGCTTCCTGTTCTTCGGCCTCTCCGCCAGCTTCGACAGCAGCGCCACCTTGTCCTTCTTGGTCGGCCTGTATGACTCCATCTTGCTCGCGGGCGCCTGCATCGCGCGGGCCCGTCAGATCGCCCGTGGGGCGGGGCGGATCGGTGCAGTGTCTGTTCGCTTCCCGCTGCGGTCCGGTCGCGCGCGGGCGCCGCGCGCGGGCGTGGCGCCGCGCGGATGCCGCACAGGATCGCGATCGACCCCTCCGGGACCCTCGTCCGCACATCTGGGCACGTGCTTGTCGGTTCGTGGGGGGCAGCAGAGCGGGCGATGGGGGGGCGCACCTGGGGTGCTGCGCAGGTGACTCCGGTGAAGGGCGGAAGAGGTTCTGCGTGGAGCGGACTGTTGGGCGTAGTGCGGGGGCGGCGCGGGCGCGCTCGGAGAAGACGCCGGGCGACGGCGCAGAAGCCTGGGCCACACCCCACACCCCCAGGCGTGTGCGGCCATGGCCAGCCAGAAGACCTGCAGGCACGGGGAGGTTCGCGGCGGCGTGACCGTCACTGACGCGCCAGCGAGCGCGTTTCTGGCTTCACCGTGCGCCCGGCGCGGCCCCGCGTCCGCTCACCTTCGCGTGCGCCTGCTCCGCGACGCGCTGCCGTGAGAGATCTGAGGTCCCTGGGCAGCAGGCGCAGCAGCAGGAGGACGCCACTTCAGCGCCGCCCCTGGTCGCCCAGGACAGTCGTCGCCGCCCTCCGTGTTCCATTCCGGACGGACTCCTACCACCAACCACCTGCGGCGGGAGATGGCCAAGCACGGAGCGTCGCGTCCCTGCTGCTGTGCGCGGAAGCAGCCGAGTCCGCGCAGCCCGGTGGCTCCGGGCTCGCCAGGGCGCCGCAGTTGCGTGGCGCGCAGAGAGGCGCAGCCTTGCGAGGACTCACGTGGCAGCGCGCCCGGGCCTTGGGCCGATCTGCCGCTGCAGTGCAGTCTCTTGGCGTGGTCGTCTTTGCACGTGCTGTGACGCAGCCACAGCGCCGTGCGCTCTCCCGCTGGTGCCCCCGTGGTCGCGTGTGTGGCGGCGATAGGCGTTCATCAGCCGTTCGAGCCGCGCGCCAGCAGGCATCGTGTGCCCCCCGGGCTGTACAGATCTGCACGAGGGGGGGGAAAGGTCGCTGGCGCGGGACCGGGGCCCTGACGACGGGCCGCGACGGGCCGGTCCCGATGATGGCGGGCGGAGACAGGGACTCGGTGCTCGAAGCACCGCGCAGCGCGACGGGCACACGCGTGCGCACGTACGTGTGCGTGTCTTACAAGCCATGGCTCATCGGCGCGACGCGTCTCGTGCGCTGGGTCCGCTGGGTGGTCGGTCACCTCTTCTGCCGGGTGGGCGGGGGGCTCCGAGACCGCGACGGGCCGGCCGCACGGCGCCTCCCCTGCTAAGACGGCGTCGCCGGGCCCGGCGGGCCGGGGGCGTACCCGGCCCGCCGGGCCGCAGCCGCCGCGTTCGTCGTCGCCGGCGCCTCGGCGCGAATCCGGCGCGTCTCCGCCGCCGCCGCAGCCGTCTGGGCGGCCACCTGCGACCTGTACATGTTTGCACTGTTCGCGGCTTCCCTCGCCTGATGGGCCGCCGTCCGCGCACGTTTCGGGAGGCCTGGCAGACGGTCGCAACTCGTTGCGCCGCGTGTGGCGAGGTCAAGTCGGAGGCCGCCATGCGCGAGGAGGCACGGCGCAAGACACACCGTGCCGTCGAGACCGTGCGGCAGGCCAACGTGCGCACGTACGACCTCAGCCAGCGTTTCGGTGAGGAAGTTGTCCGAGAGGCGGAAGAGTTCATCGAGAGGTACCTGAAGACGGACGCGTACCGCATCAAGGACGGCGTGCCCCTGCTGTACCTCATGGACACAAGAAACGCTCCAACACTACGAGCGCGAGGGTGGGCCCATGGGACGCTCAGCCCTGCTGTCCATGATCTCGTCGAGCTGGAAGCCGCTTCCCACGCGCCAGTGCCTCGGCTCGCATTGCGAGGCGGCCCTGCAGTGGCGCGACAAGCTGGACGCCCTCGTGCGCTCGCCGTCGGCGCGCGCCCTCGCTCAAGACTACGGCGCGGCAGCCAACGCCTGGCACGACATCAAGGTCCGGTTGTTCCGCGTCGTTGTGGGGAGGGGCTCCATCGACGACCCCGGATTCTTTCAAGTGGTTCGTGACGCAGGTGCGCGTGCCAGCGTAGCGTCTCGCACCACCAGTGTCATGCGCGGGATTCTCGTGCTAATATGTCCGCCTGGCCCCCGATCGGTGCAGCGAGGGACGGGAAGGAGGTCGACGTCGAGGCACTGGAGAACACCGTGGACATCGACGGCCTGCGTCGCGATCTCTCCGCCGACGAGGTCTCCGGGGACGGCGCCGACGCACACGCCCGCGGCGTGTACAATGCGGAGGTCGAGCAGTGCCTGGCCGCCATGGAGCGCTTTCGACGCCATCTTTTTGTGTGGGCCTTCCAACTTGAGCGCCACCGGCACCACGTCCACACGATGACGCACGGCGACTGCATCCTCGTCATCGACTTCAAGGAGAAGCTGCAGGCGGAGATGCGGGTGCGCGAGCGGCAGTCGGACAGGTGGAAAAACAGCTCAGTGTCCATGCTTAACATCACGATACTGTGGGTTGACACCGCCGGCGAGCGTCACACGCAGCACGTCAACTTCCTCAGTGGGCTCGACACGAAGCAGGTGCGTGCATCCGCGCCCGTGACCGCGTCACGCTGCGCCGTGCAGCGCGCCATGCCTGACACATTTGTCTTTCGTGCCATCTCGCAGGACGCCGAGTGGGTACACAGTGCGTTCGCCCAGCTCCCCACCGTGCTCAGGGAGGTCGGCCTGAAGCCAGACGACTACACGCGAATCAAGGGCTGGAGCGACAATGGATCCCACTTCCACAACTAGGTCTTCGTGCTTGAGACGTTGCGCACGCTCTCCATCGCGCTCGACTCGGAGCCGATTGAGTGGCATTTCTTCTGTCCCGGCGAGGCGAAGAACATATGCGATCAGCACTTCGCCGCGGTTGGCCACAAACTGCGCACCTATATGCAGACCGGCAACAGCATCTCAGGGGCGTCTGACATCGCCGCCGTGGTCGAGAAAATGAAGAACACGACGTGCGAGATTCTCGACGTCGATCGGACCCAAGGCGACGGCACTTACCTGCGCCTGTGCGTCATCTCCTCCATGAAGCACTTCGTGGTCGCGTGGAACTCAATTAAGGCGGCGGAGCTGACGGACCACGACGAGCCGCTGGAGACAGTGAAACGACGCACGGTGGCCGCGGTGGTCAGCGTGGACGACGCACGCGACGACCCTGATGCAGAGCTAGCGGCGCACGCTGACACCGCGGACTCCGCCGCCGCTGCCCGCGCCGATGCGGCACCTCCATCGACGGCGCCGGCGGCAGCCCGGCCTGCTGCGGAACGGCCGTCCGCGCTACCGCGAGCGCAGCCGGCCACTGAACGAGACGCAGCAGCACGTGCCCTTGGCTTGTGACGTGCGCGCTCGGGCCCAGCGGGAACCGCTGCACGCTCGAGCCGGGCGTGGGGCGCAGGGGACGGTGGCTGGGGAACAGGAACTCGCAGCCGCCCCACACCACACCAGGCAGCGTTGGTAGGACGACGCACTGGGTGGAGGCGGCGTTGTCGACGCGCGTGCCCAGGCCTGCGTGGCCCGCCTCGGCAGTCGACGTGGACGCAGCGCGTGCCCGTGGCAGCACCCTCGACGCCCCGGCGGCGCTCCGTGCGTGCCCGAACCGGTTCCAGTGCCTCCCGCTGCAGAGCAGCGCCCCCCCGACGTCCAGGCACGACGCGCCGGGCGCTGGAGTCGTCCGTTTGCGGCTATATCCCGCACGTGGCCCTCCTGCTCCCTCCAGTGCGCCTCCGCGAGTCCGGGTGGACGGGACCCAGGTGCGGGCCAGTCTTTAGCAGCCACGGATCGCTTTTTTGACGGCACGAGGGGCCGTCGGCCGCATCCAGCAGGCCTCCTGCCACGTGCACCACCTCCATTTGCTGTTCCCGAGCGCCTGCCGCCCGTCGCTTGGGTCTGTCCGCGCCGCGGACGTGCGAGTGTCTCACAACCTCCCCCCGTCGACGCTGTTTCGCAGCCCGCCCCGCCTCCGCGGGCCGGGGTGCATGTGAGATGTGCAGTGAGCACGGATGTCGCGCGGCGCGGGTGGGGGCGCGGCGATGAGGGCGGGGCGCGCGAAGCAAGGGGGGGTGGGCAATTCACCTCCCAGTGCGGCCGCGCGCGCGAGCGGGGCCGCATTGGCCTCGCTGCGACGGGCAGCGGGCCGTAGACCGCCCCCCCGCGCGAGGCGCGCGGCTGCAGCGGGGGCTTCCGGCGGGAGCGCGGGCACGGTGGCGCCGGGTGCGGCACACCGTGGTGCAGCGGGTGCGCGCGGGGGGCCGTGGTGCGTGTGAGATGCGCGGTGAGCACGGATCCCTGGTGCATGACGCGCCCGACAGCATGGCCGCGCGGCCCCGTATAGCACGCGCTCGGACCGCTCTCTCTTGTGGTGCGCATTCATGAAAACGCTGATCAGTGTCACAGAGGGCGTGCGGGGCCGGCGGCTATGCCGCTCCAGCACGGACGAGCGGCGCGCCGCGCGTGCTCCTCAGTCCGGACCGCGCCGCGGGGTGGTCACGTCGTGCAGCTCCCACTCGCCGCACGGCATCACCTTCGACGCGTGTGACAACTTGCCAGCCAGCGGGTATGACCGTCGAGGCCCCGAATCACGCGTCGGCGCCGGGGCTGGTCATGAGGAGGTCCGCGCCGGGGTGGATCGCGTCACATGCGGAGACCGTCTCCGGCGTGTAACTCTCTGTCTCTGAGGCCGCGCGTGTGGTGCATGCGACCTTCACGACTCCAGAGTCAGTCAGTCATCGTCCTAGCAGCAGGATCGCTGCCGTTCCCATCAGCGTCCGTATCCGTCTGGTCCGTGTCGGCCACCGCCGGGCAGTCCGGGTCGCACGCGTCGCCCACGCCGTCGCCGTCCGCGTCCGCCCGCGGCTCGCGGGCGGCCATCGGGTCGGAGGCAGAATTCCTGCCAGATGGTGTGCACCTCCGGGAGGTAGACACCGGCGGAACGTGCCCCGGTGCGGCGCAGGGCGCTGTGGAAGCCTGGCAAGATGCCGCCCACGTGGTGTGCCCGCCAGCGGGTCTGACTTGACTTGACTTGTTGCATCCCGAAGAACGGGTCGCACCGCCAAGGCAGGTTCTACCCCACCCTATAACGGCACTAGTTTATAGAAACGCCACGGGACCAGGTGCCCATTTTCCTGCCGATGGCACAAAGGGAAGTGGCAGACAGCCCGCGCGGGGGCGCGACGGGCGCAGCGAGGGCCGCTGCGGGGAAACGTGGGGGCGGGCGTACCGATGACCGACACGCGAGTAGCGTTTACGTTTGCAGGCACTTGACAGGCCTGGTGCTAGAGCTCCGCAGCACGCGCGGTCCCGGCGCCGAAGCGACCAGCCGCGCGCGCACCGCCGGGCTCTGAGCAGGGTTTCGGCCACGGGCACACCGCACCGCATTAGCACGCGTGACAGGGCATTGTGAGGGCATGACATGATTCATTCTCTGTCACCAGTCGAAGCGGGGGGGCACGGGTCGCTGGAAATACCGCTCGGACCTGGTCGACAGCACGGACATGCACTTCGGCCGGCAGCTACGCCGCACAGAGCCGAGCGCGCCCCGCAGGCGCCGCACGTGACGTGCAGCTTCATCTCGCGGCTGCGACTCCGGGCCCGCGAGGGCGCACGGAGGAAGACTTGAGTCGGCAGCCCGGGGCTCGGCGTGAGCCGCGGCGCGACAGGATGCCGGGTTCCGCGTGGGAGCTCGCCGGCGCTCGCAGCTCCGTGATCTCCGTGTCTTCGTGGCGCTCGCGAGCGCGCCTGCGGCCATCTCCGACTTGAGGGCGTTCGCGAGCACGCCGGGCCGCATCTGGTGTCCACGGGTCGAGGTCGAGCGCCTGTCCAATCTTCGCGCCACGCAGAAGGCCGAGGTGCGAGTGTTGACGATGTCGATGACCGCGCGAAGTCCACTGTTGCCCTCCAGGCAGACGACGACGCCAGTTTCAAGGACAGCCGAGTGCGGCCAGGCCCGGGCGGGGGTGCGCGGCCCCTCGGTCCGCCTGGGCCGGCCAGCAGCGAGCCGGGGGGTGTCACCAAGTGTCCCCCCAGGGGCTCTCTCGCACAGTCCACGCCAGCCGGCTGCACCTGGGCCCACGCGCGGTGGCAGGGACCAGTCTGCTGCACGACACGCGGCGGTACGCTCGTGCTGGCGCGCGGGGCCCAGGTGTCGCCCGTGCACGACGACCAGTGCACGGGGCGCCGGCTGCTGGGGCTGTCCTCTCGGCACCGGCCATCCTCCGGTGCCCTCGCGTCGCCGTGTGCACAGGAGTGCTGTCGTGTGGGATCTTCGGGACGGCCGAGCACCCTCGTGGCCATCCAGCCACGCGGCGGGCCGGTTGCAGTCCTGCGGCCTCTGTCGCAGCGGTGTCGGGGCTCGTAGCTCGCGATTGACAGACATGGTGGGCGGGGATGGGTTCAGTCAAGCAGGCACAGGGCGCGGGTGCGCGGTGATTCGATGCTGGTCGCGACGCCAGCCCAGACGGGCCGGAGGAGGCGCGCCCAGCCATTGCGGCCGGTGCGTCGCCGCAGGGGGGGGCCTGGGGGGACGTGGGTAGCCAGCCAACAGGTACGGTCGTGGAGGCCCCGAATCACTCGTCCGCGCCGGGGGTGGGGTCGAGGAGGTCCGCTCCGGGGTGGAACGCTGCAGCCATCTTGTTGAGCCGATAGAGGACGCGGTGAAAGACGGGTCCGCCGTCGAGAAACAGCAGGCGGACCGCCGCGTCTCGCCCGTCTTCACCGCCCGCCGCCGCGCGTTGCTGCAGGCCGTCGATGAGCTCCCGGGCCTGCTGGTTGGAGTACTTTGCCGTTGACGACTCCGTGCTGTTCGCCCACGTGCGACCCCACGGCTGGGCGGGCGGCAGGTCGGCCAGCGGCGCGCGGGCCTGGACGATGTCCGCGGACGTGCACTCGGTGAGCAGGTGCACGACATCCTCGATCGCCGTCGTGTCGCCTGTGACATCGCCGCAGAACCTGCACGTGCGTTGCGACAACGGCTCGTGCGCCCACGCGCCCCGGTTGGCACGCAGGTGCGAGGTGCCAAGGCGGACCTGCGACACGCACTGGAGGACGCGGGTGGTCGAGTGAAGGGCACGCAGGTGCGGCGCGCAGCGCATGTACGGTGGGATGTGCAGGGCAACCGTCGCGGGCGTTGCATGACGGAACCAGACCCTGTCCGGGACCTGCAGGTAGTGCGTGCGGTAGGCCGCGGCAAACTGGCCGCCAGTCGGCTGCGCGGTGCGCGGGTGCGTGTCGGGGAGGTCAAGTTGCAGCTTGTCAATGGCTAGGCACATGCGGCGGGCGTCGATGCGGGTCGGCGGTGCCGGCGCCGGCGGGTGGACGCCGAGGGTCGTCGCCATGGTCCGGACGCGCGCCGCCCAGCAGTGCGGCGTGACCTCGGCCAAGGCCAAGGTGTCTTTCCACGCGGCGAGGAGCAGCTTGGGGGCGCGCGGGTCGGTCTGCAGGCCCACGAACTGGTTCCACAGGCGGGCCGCGCGACCCCACGCCACCGAGAGGACGGAGCTCAGGCCGCACTCCGCCAGGACGAGGGGGGCGGGGGTGCTTTTGTTGACACGCAGGGTGCCACGCAGATGGCGGGCGAGGTGGTCGTCTGGGCCGGAGCGGGGGACGTTGCCGTCGATGTCCTTCTGGCATTGGTGCATCGCCGCCTCGTAGTTCGGCCAGTCGACGTCCGGGAAGTACGGCGCCCAGATTTCGCCCCCCCACGCCGCAGCGTTGACGATGTCGGAGTTGGCGAGGTGCACCGCGACGAC